ACTTAATCTATCTTATTACCCGACAAGTAAATTCTACCTTATCTTTTTTTCTGCCTCTTCATTAGTATTAGTTTGTCTTCTCAATGGCAATATTCTGCATTTTCAACTTTCTTGTTCTCTACCCCCACCCGATTTAATTTCAACATCTCACTACCACTGTACTGACTTGACCAACGCTCAATTTTTAGTCATTAATGTTACGTCATCCAACTTAATTGCTCAATTTCAGTTCTAATTTAAATGGCATTATTATCTATATATTAAAATAATATATTAAGTCACTTTTTCAGTACACATGAGTTTTCTGATCACTTTTAAATCTTCAGTTTATGGACGAAGTCTTCCTAGAAGTGGACTTCATTAATTATTTGACAGTTGGTCATAGAACTTCATCAATAAGTTCACTGATTTACTTCAAAGTGGTGAGCTTATTTTTCTTTAAAGAATTAGATACGGCTCTGGTTGAAAGCTGTGACGAAATTATTCTTTTTGAGGAGAGACAGAGAAGAATGATATAGAAGAGGTTTTATCTTGCAAAAGTAGGCATTTGAGTTTAAAATTCAACACAGTGGACTTCATTTTCTTAATGACAAACCTATGGATCAAGTTGGAAGCTGAAAAAATGCGTAAAAGAAACCCGGATTTCAGTGAAATAGTTTATGTCATCAGTCTATCAGTAGTTGGCAGGATATTCAATCGACGGAGTTACTATATGAAGTTCCACTTTTGCTACAGTCAACAAAGAGATGTTTCCTGTTGTTATCAATTTAATAAAAGATGTATGCATAACGACTGGTATTCACTGGTATTATCTAACCGTCCCTAGACTGAAAAATTATTTCAAACATTTAGTTCTCTTCATAAGTTTCAATGTGCGTCGGTGACACAGCGGTTAGGACGCTCACTGACCATGCACATGGTCCGGGATTCGATCCCGGCCACCGACGCATTCCTTTACCTCGCTAAGCCCGTAATAGAACTGGTAAAGAGGAAAGGTTGTGCATGAGGCTAGAAACCCCATCCTGTAAAAGTAAACACCACTGTTACAGAAACTTCAAGCTACTAGCTTGAAGTCCTATGTTCCACTGGGGAACTTGAAGGAAAAAAAAGTAAATTTCAGTAAAAAAAGAAAGACGAGATTCGCTGTATAAAATGAGATATAATCATCCTATTTCACAGGTTCTCATTAGCTGCAGATCACTACCTAGAATGACAGTGATTAAAAGAAAGAATGACAATAACGTACAATTTTTCAAAATATTAAGCCTACAAAGAACAGCAAATTTACTAAGATTTGCTAAAGCGTTTACAATCAAACCTTTCAAACCAAACTTATGCATATATAGAAAGAGAGTGTAATCAATCTCTCACTCATTCATTACCTTGATAACCTACATTTTGATTACACTGATTAGTGATCCATATGAGCGATTTCAACTCACTGAGCAAGTTTTCAGTTTGTGATGAGAGCTGTCTGCAAGTTACTTTTTACGTCCTGAATCGGGGTCATGAGAAAAAACAATAACAAGACTTAACCTTGAGGAAGTCACCAACCAATCACAGCAGAATTAACGTGTGCAAATATGATTAGCAGGTAAGTAACTTGATTTTCTGAGAAACGGCCACAAAAGATGACAGAATAAGCTTCAGCAAGAAAACAACCAATCAGAAGAGGTTGCTTCTCCGCTGACAATAACGTTAATAATAATGCACATTGAAATCTATGAATACCTTTTGATTTTCTTAATAAACTATCTTTTGCCTGGTTCTTGCCTTCTATCGTGACATTTTATGTCTCTGCCTGCCTACAAATGGAAAGCCTATATCCTGCCAGTTTTGATGGAGACATATGAATCTTCTGGCAAGACTTCGAGGCTTTTACGTACTTGAATGGCGTTCAAAATCCGTCAGCAATGAGGCTGTTACTTGAAACGCTGCTGGGAGGTTGAGCGAAGGCAGCATATGAGAGTGTGAGACGAAACACCCACACATGCGTACCAGGGTCATACAAACTGCTTCCAAAGTAGGAAGGACCATACGTGGTTACTGTGAGACGGGGTCACGTATATACGATCGCAAAATTCTATAAAAACCTCATGGTTTTCTCAATAAACGACCTGTTGCCTGGCCCTTGTATTCTATCATTACAATATAACTTCTTGAGTTGCTATGTAAACCTACATACTAACAATTTTTATTAGATATTTCTGCTTTCCGTTTCTTCTACCCTTCTCCCACTCCCTTTTCTATTTTGAAAGCATATAAATTGACGGTAATTTAACTCAAAAAATTGTTATGGTTTTATTTCGGATATGTTAATTTTGTAATATTTACTTTACTACTATTCAAGCATTGAAGCATGCTATTGTCATTATTTATAGCTATCATAATCTCAGTTGATTTGCGGCTGATGAGAACCTGTGAAATGGAGTGACAATATCATTTTACGCTTCAATCTGGTCTTTGTTTCTTAAGGAAAATTATAGAAGACTGACTTCTTTTCTCTCAGTTTGATAAACCGAGGTTATTGTTATTGTTCCCATTGGGTTCCTAGTGGAACATAGGGCTTCAACTACACGTCTCCACTTGCCACTTCTGTCTTCTTCTGCTGTACTTTTCACCTGCATCATCCATGTTACTTAGTCCATACTGTTTCAACCAATGGCTCATCACACGATCTCCTCCATGTCACCCTTGCACTGACGTCCTACTCGCCGATTCTTTTTCGGCCTGGTTTCACTCGATCAATGGCCTGACGCGCGTGCGATGTCACCCAGCGGCCTCCTCAGCGAGTGTCCAATCCATCTCAATACCCTTACTCCTGCATATTTGTTGTTGAGCGATCGGTTCTTGTTTTGTTTCTTCCCATAGTTTCTTGTTGGTGATTCTTTCTGACTCGGCCATCTGATCTTCAGTATGGATCCAGCGAAGACAGTTTTTGGTTGATAAATGTCTGCGACAGGCTGTTGGAAATATTCTTTATGACCCGCCCGCCGAGTTTCTGATCCGTATAGAAGAACTGACTGACTTGACGTTGTTTGTATTGAAAATCCGACTGAATTTTGTTGAGTGACGAAGTTTTCCAGATCGGTTTTAGATAAATGAATGTGTTTCTCGCCCCCCTCCACCCAATTCTCGCTCGATTTGAATCCTCGTTCGTTCCTACTGTAGTTTAGAGCGAGGTAATTCAACATAATTTGAACAGTTATTTCCCTTTACTAATTTGAATCAAATAGAAATAATGGATTGTACTGCAATAGATGGTGCCATCGTTTTTTTCATCTAACTCTCAGCAGCTCCATACGGTCTGAAGAAATTAGTCAATTTATGTAAAGAACAAATTTAACATGTAAATGTTACATGGCGTCAGTCGACAAGAGACTATAAACTTTGAAACATTGCCAGGCACCTAGTCGACATAGATCATGAGGTGGACACCATGGAAGCCTTTAGAATTGCCAATTTACCTTTTCTCAAGTTTACCCAAGACAAATGCTATAAAATGTCTTAAAACCAATTCATGTATTCAGGAAGAAGCAGTTGTCAGTCTTTCGTTGCTCCGGTAACTGGATATCATTCTTCTCCTTTTCATTTGCTTACGTAATCTTTGTTTCTAACTTCTCCTCCTTCTCTGTAACGTTAATTTGCTTATCTCTTGTTTCTATAACTTAAGTTGAACTCATCAGATTGTTACTTACTTTCCTTTTTAATTTTTTTCGTCCTCTTATTTATCTCTTCCTTTTATTATACAACTCCTTTGCCAGTGCCCTTTGTCTCATTTATTTATTTTTTTTATTTACAGCTGATTCCACACTGTATTTTTGGTACAAGTATGGAATTTTCAGCATGGATATCGGTAGCCCACAAAATGGAACATATGTGAGTGAAAAGCAACAAGTTGGCGATAGAAGAAGCATCAAAGATAGGACTTCAGGTGAACATAGAGAAAACAGAGGTGATGAAGATTCCTGGCCAACACCAACAGCGACAACAACAGACAACAATCATCCTGCATAAATGGAGGAACCTGAAAGAAACAACCTCCTTCACCTACCTACATGGGAAGCATCGTATCAACTACAGGCCAGCGGAACTGACGAGGATATCAAAGCAGTGCGGATCGGGAAAGCAAGACAAGCTTTCATTACTCTCAAGTCTGTGTGGAGGTCAACAGTACTACTCAGTATCAAAAATAACATCCGGATTTTCAACTCCAATGTGAAGTCAGTCAGTGCTAATGACTATACGGATCAGAAACTTGACGCGTCATAAAGAGCACTTTGAACAAACTTCAGACCTTCATTAAAAGTTGTCTTCGGTCAATACTCAAGATCAGATGGCTTGCCAGAAAAGATCAACAACAGGGATCGCTGGCGCTGAGTGAACCAACCAGGAACCGACTGTGTGAAACAAATAAGCAGGAAGAAATGGAGATGAATTGGCCATACTCTGAGGAAACAAACCATCAAGTGACATCACTAGACAAACCATTGCTCGAGTGGAACCCGATTGAAAGGGAAGTGGCCAGTTGGTCGTCAGTATGAGGGTGACTTGGAGGAGGAGGTGATGTGGAGAGGAGATGAAAGCATGTGGGCAAACTTGGAGCCAGGTGAAAACTCTAGCGGAGGACCGAACGCAATGGAGACTTGGGCGGCTGAAGCTCTTTGTTCCTCTAGGAACTAAAGGAAATAATATTTGCCAGTGTTTAAACTTGAACTTCTTGTATATAACCTATATAAATGTGATCCAAGTGTGGAGTCTTCCATCAACTGAAACCATGTAACGTTCGCAAGTATGTTAAAGTTATTCTATGCATAAGCCTGATAAATTTATTTAGGCTGTACTCAGATTATGAGAAAATGATGCAGTAAACGATTGCACCATCTCATTCTATACACACTTTTGTTTTTGCTTTATTCAACATAAGTTGATTAACAATCTGAGTATTTGAAAATGTATATACGATTCACTACGCTGAATTATTTTATTTAACTGTTAAGGATTAAACTGTGAATATCCAGTTGGGATTTGGTCAACATGGACATTACCTTCACCATGTTTTCCAGAAGACTGTGGTGTAACACGTTATCGTTGGAGAAGAAGATATTGTTTAAACGGTACTACTTCAGAAGATTTACTCCCTCATATGACTGAATCATCACAATCATCTACTGAATTAAATGGATGGACATATTCACATCGAAGAATGCCAATTGCATGTCCAGGAACCTCAGAAGAAGTAAGTTGTTTGTTGGCTAGGGCTTTTTTTTGAGTAAAAACGTAACATGTAATCAGCATTATTCTAAGGTCAAAAATTGTCGGTTAAGTTTTTGTGGTAGGATGGTATAATGATAACCTAACGTTGTTATTTGGTGGATGGTGAGTATCAGTGGGATTCAGGATGCGCAGTTAATCCCTTTGAGACTCATCAGCCGGCTATATCTGCAATCCTCATTGATTGATGGTGTTCCTAGATAGACTCAAACCTGGCGACCGTTGCTTCAGATGCCACAGTATTATGCACTAAATCATTTGGGCGACTAGAGCCACGTTGCTTGCGATGGGTATCAGTTATTGTTATCTGCTGTCAGTGTCAACAGAGACCGGATATTTTCGGTCTAGTATAATCAGTTAATGGTAATTACAAAAATCTTATTAAATAAAGATCTGGTGTTGTGTCTCATTTTGGTGGTACCATTAATTGGTTATCGATCACGCCTGGATTTTAATTAGAAGTATTGACTAGAGAGATCTAACAGGTCGGCTGGAGAAAAACATTCACCGATGACATTGCTTGGTGGTCATACTATTTATCACGAATAGACAGAAGTTTGAATTGATAGGCCATTGGATTTCGGCTCAGTGGCTGAACTGTCAACGAGATCGCCTTGTTCAAGTATTGGTTTGTACGGTTTTGGTTGATTGGTCACATGATTTCATCGTGAGCTGACATCATTTAGAGAACCTTTGGAAATCAGCCACACGGAGTACTTGACAGCTGTTTCACCCTAGTTTGAGACTCTTCAGTAGTGCGCACACACCACAAAGGGTTCGTACCCAGGACCTTTTGGTTACAAGGCGATCTAGTATGCCATTAAGCCACTGGGACCTGATCCAATGGCCCATGAATTCCAACTTCTGCCAACTCACAACATAGCGCCACCACTAGCCAATGTCTTCGGCGAGTATTTGTCATCACACCCTACCGGCTGCACCCTATTGGTCACGACTTCCCACTAGAACCCCAGGTAACTACCTACCTGAATAGGGCCAGTTGTCTTGTTACCTGAGAGTCCTGGGTTTGACCGTAGGTAGAGCCGATGGTGCGTACTGACGAGGAGTCGCAAACCAGGACGAAGCAGTTGTCCAACACTACCTGATTTCTTAACTGAGAATAGCTTTAAGGGATTATTTCTAAGAAAGCTTAATATGACTTTTAACGTTTTGAATAAATTCTGCTTCCTGTTTTAATTTACATAAAGTCATAAAAATCTTATCTGATTAATATAATAATAATAAAAAAAACTTTTAGAATAAGTTTAAACAAATATTTTCAGTTTAATCATTCATTCTACTTATTTATTTAAACGCATAAAAAACTTGGTACAATATGGCACCAAGAAGGATGCGCCACATAAAGAACGCATAAAGAACTTCATCTGGAAGGAAAACAGTCATGCTTAACAAGTTCAAACAGTATTCGTTAACTATCATCAGGAAGGGAAGAAAGAAAGAAATTACAACACATTCGCCATTGACTAAGACTCTTGTCCATATCCGATAACGTTTCGAGACATCGATTTGAGCTATCTAATCATTCATTCAAAATGAATACTTTAATTCTTTTGCACTCCAAGTGGAACTTATGACTGCAGTTTACAGTTTCAGTAGTGGTGCTGTTTTATTTTCCCACAAGGTGAGGTTGCTAGCCTCAAAACCAAACCTTCACTCTTAAGATTGCTAATGGCTAGTAATAAACTAGGTGAGGTTTATGAATGCGTCTATTGGGTGGAAATCGGAGTCAGCACAATGTGTGCGGTTAGCGAGCATTTTACTGGTGAGCTAATCATGAACGGATAAAATCAGCATATTGACCCATGACTTTATAACATAAGTCATAAATACAAACGGGATAATATAAACTTCGAGTGAAAGAAGTGTATAAATTTATCCTTAGGATCAGATTATTTTGGTTTTTGATGAATAAATTCTTGTGAAAATCAAGTTTAAATGAGAATGTTTCTATCTGTGGATAATTTTCTAAAGTTTCCATGTGCTTGTGTTATCTGCAGTCTCTACAGATTTCATCTTTTAGTGTATTTAAACATACTCTACAGGTTATAGGAGATTTTGAAATACTGATAAGATTCATAAAACTATATATTACTCGTTGTTTGACATCAGTAGTTGGATACCAATCATATAACCCATCAGTGCTTACCATCCACCCAGATCAGAGTAATCTAAACACTGGTAAGCCTTTTCCACTACTTAAGGCCAAGCTCATCAATAGTGTACCGAGTTCGATTCAGTTCAAAGAACCGAATCATTTCAAACCACTTGATTTCTTACTGGGTGAAATGACTTTAAAAGTGGATTTTATAAATATCTTTAGGTTCTTTAGATAGGGACGTTATTATCGAGCATACTTCGTCTAAATAATATATATATATATATAATATTGCTTGGTCACCAAGATATAAGCAGCGTTTTGGAATCTGGATTTCATTGTCCGTACTGACTGATTCCATTTAGGCGATTTAGAAATATGGTCACTAAGCTAGTTGAATCACCATCACATTACACTTCTAATATGTGATTATTGGATGCAATCGGCAGGAACCCTCAAACCTAGATTTTCTGCCTATCAGCATTTCTCAGCAATGAGTTTGTACAGCTCAGAAGTAACTATTTTCCCCTCTGCGACTGACCTTCTGTAGGACTGTAATGAATGCATTTATTGGTTACCAAAGCGTAATCAGTACCATATGTGTAGTCCATATTGTTGGTACTAGTTGAACTCTGTCATTCTCCACGGGGGAGTCATTCTGTATAAGGTTGTAAATATGCCTTTTTGATAAGTGCTAATAAGCACGAAGCCAAGGTAATAGAGAAGATTTGTAGCTCAGGTGGTGACTTTATACTAAAATCTGAGCTAGGACGAAGAAAGCTTCGTAATTAAATCAGCCAGCTTGAAGAACACAACTAATTCAAGGAAACCAACGTGTTAGGCTTCCTACTCAAAGTTTCCAATGATCTGACTTCAACATATATGTATACTATATTATTATGTGATATGTCGTTGTTTTTTTTTCAACAGATCTTGCCATGTCCTGAACTTGAACCATGCTTGAAACTTCGTTTACCAGGATATATGAGAGAAGAAATTTTCAGCTATAATTCATTATATTACTTTCTTTATGTTACAATAGTTATAGTAAGTTAATCGGTTATAATATAGTGCAAAAAGTGTATGCAACCGTATAATTATATCACTGTTAATATTTTCATGAATGTGCAGTCATCTAGACTAGTGATAATGCCATTAAAACGAAATATCGAATCGTCAGTACATATCAAAGTCGTGACCAGTGAGGTCCATCCAGTCACGTGTGAGGATGGATGTTCTATCGATGGCAATGGTTGTTTTCGCGCTAAATCACGAATTGATAGGAGTTAGAATTCATGAGCCATTGAATCGGGTCTTAGTGGCTAAATGTTATACAAGCCAGCTTGCCTTGTAACCGGAAGGTCCTGGGTTCGAAACTCAGTGGGTGCGTACTGCCGATGATTCCCAAACTAGGATGAAACAGCAGCTGTCCAGTACTCCCTGGTTTTCAATGGTTCTCTAACTGATATCAATCCGTGATCAACTCGTAAGATATTTATAGATATTATATGCATTATTATTAGCGTTATTTTTAGCGGAAAAGCAACGTCTTCTGATTGGTTTTTCTCCTTGAAGGTTATTCTGTACTGCTTGTGACTGTTGCTTACAAAGTTATCCATGTATTTGCCAATCATATTTGCACACGCTAAGCCTGCTGTGGTTGGTTGTTGATTTTCTCAAGGTTAAGCTTTGTTATTGTATTTTCTCATGACCCTGATTCAAGACGTAAATATTGACGTAAATTGTCGTTTACAATTTGGTCTTGCAGACAGCTCTCACTATGTATACATATATACGTTTTGTTCACTTGTAATGTTCATATTACTAGATTCTTTAGTAAACTGAGAAGTGACGCGCAACATTTAAACACTGGCATGAATTTCCCACTACAGCAAGTAACTCTATGATTGAACGTAAATTATATTGGTATTATTCATTTCATGTATAATTATTGGAATTTAGTGCTTCAATAGCAAATTTCTATTACTTTTTGTTTTCCACTATCACTTTCAACTAACTGTATGACTGACTGCTCACAAGCCTTTATTTTTATTTAACATTATCCTATCACTATCATTATTCTGACATGCCCAACTCGTTAATGCTCATTTGTGTTTCACTGTAGTAGTTGGCAATGTGACGTCATAATAATACCTTTCCAGTGTGTGTCCGGTTTATCTGTATTTTCTTCTACCTGTTTATTTCTGGCAATAAATATGTCATCCCGACCGCCAATTTACGCCGTCTCTGGCGTAGACGTGATATCCGACTATCGACCAAAGGGCGAGTGTACTGCTCATCAGTCCGCTCCGTCCTCCTTTACTCCTGTGAGCGAGACATGGCCATTGAGAGTGGGAGACATGAAAAGATTAGCTGTCTTTGATCATAGGTGTCTGCGTTCTATCTCCATTGTGAAGTGGTATAATAAGGTGAGGAATATCGAAGTTAGGCGTCAAGTTCTAGGCAAGCTTGGGAAATCAATAGAGGAGGCTGTGAAATTACATCCACTCAGATGGTTAGGACTTATGTTACGTATGCCTAGTCATCGCCTTCCTCGACTGACGGGAAATATTAGCTGATATAAGATCCTGCTGGAAAAGAGCTAGCAGAGGTCAAACCAAAGCATGGCACCAGTCAATGAAATCCACAACAGTTAGTCTAAGCCACATAGGAAGGTGCAAACTTCCTGGTTGGGGTCCTCGGGACGGTAAGAACCAATGGTTGGAAACAATAGGTGACATGACTCAAAGTGATCGTTCTCAATGTCTAGAGCAGATGCATCCACTCCTTGTGACTTATGATTTCCAATGAAACTGTTTTGTTCTTCGTTATTACTATTCCTTTGTTTCGCACCTCTGTTTACTGTCTATATTATGCATTTCTTGTACTTTTTTCTCATGCTTTGTGTGCTACAAGAAGTGGAGTGCGGCGACTTGAATGGCGGCACATATGTGCAAAGTTCCATGTCGAAAGCAGACAGATAGAATAAATATATCATGGTCTTTATGTTGCAAGTGAAAAAAGGGGAAATATAGAAAATAAAACAGTTTCGCATACTCAAATTGTATGCGTTAGGGAGTCTTTCTCCTTTCTATTGAATAGATGACAATTAATTTTGGTGCCTACCTAGAAGTGAGTCGATCGAAATCTACCGATTAAGTTTGCACTTTGATCTTTAGGCTTAGCAGCATGGTACTTATTAAGACCAACTGTGCACTATAGTTTGAGATATGAGGCTAACAGGACAGTGCCTGACTCATGGTTTGAGTACTATGCATTAGATTTCGATAAATAGATTATTTCATTACCCCATGTTAGAAACAAATGAATACTTTGCTCATATAGGAAGCCTTCCACCAGCCTTGATCAGAAGTGGCTTTCTTCAAATATTTGGTTGGTTACAATCATCTAAGTGAAGTATTTTTCACAAAATCAGCTTACTACCTAGTTTTGATCCTTGCTAGAGTTACAGATGAGTACTGCTGAAGCGTCTTGGACAAAGACAAAATGCCTACCCAGTGCTGTTCGACCTTCAATTATCCTTTAAATTTATATCCATTTATGACAAAACTGACACTGGAATTAATTATAATCTATACAAAATGAGAGAAATCTGCAAAAGAGGCAACCTTCTTTACCTACCTGGGGAGCGTCGTCTCAACCATAGACGGATGGAACTTATGGGGATATCAAAGCGAGGATTGAGAAGGCAAGGCAAACTTTCATTCCTCTCAAGTCTGTATGGAGATTAACAGCACTCCGCATAAAAAATAAGATCGAAATTTTCAACTCCAGTGTGAAGTCGAACAAACTTCAGACCTTCATCAACAGCTGTCTTCACTCAATGCTACTCAAGATCAGATAGTCAGAAATGATCAACAGCAGGGATCTTTGGGAGCAAACCAACCCAGCAGTAACCAATTGCGCAACAAATATGCGGGAAAAAATACAGGTGAATTAGCCATACTCTGAGATAACAAACCATCAAGTGATTTCACACTCTAGTCCATCACTGGAGTGGAACCCAAATGGGAAGCGGTGAGTTGGTCATCAGTTCGAGGATGACATGGAACAGGTCATACTGTGGTGAGAGCTGTCTGCTGGCCAAAATTGGTCGACAGGAATTTACGTCAATTTGTTACGTCCCAAATCTTGGTCATGAGAAAAAGAACAAGAACAAAGACTAACTCGACAAGCAATAAGAGCAGACTTAGCGTGGGCGGATACAATCCACAGATACATGGTCTGACCATCAAAGAAACGGCTACAAAGAGATGACAGAATAGCTTGCAGCGAGAAAACAATCAATCAGAAGACTCTGTTTCTCTGTTTATAATAACGAATAATAATGTACATAAAAATATATAAAAATCTGTTGATTTTCTTAATAAACGATCTGTTGCGTGGCCCTTGTCTTCCGTCGTTACAATACGAAGAGGAGATGAAATCATGTGGGCAGATAGGGATCCAGGTGAGAACTCTGGCGGAGAACCGAACTCAACGGAGACGTGAGGCTGAAGACTTATGTTACTCTAGGAATTTAAGGAGACAGTAATAATAAAAGCAATAAACATAATAATTTACGAAATCCAATGATATCTCAATTTTTCTGAATACAAATAATGTTATAAATCAGGAACTTTGCAAAATTTATTCTATTATTTCATTCTTTCATCAAAGTATATGTATGAATAACGGTATCTTAAAGTGCACTGATCCCTTACCCAAAATTTTTTATCGTCTCTTTTCGCAATAATTTTTTTATTTTTAGTTTGTCTTTAGTTGTTTAATGTGGTATGTATTCGGCTCAACGATTGCACGTTACCTGAAGCGAAAATATTCTGAATGAATTAATTGCCCTGAATATTGGATGTTATATGGATTATAACTTCAGGTCAACAGATTTTGTCTATTTGGTTTTGTTACAATGTTGTTTTGTTATAGGTTACATTAAATGATAATCACACGCTAAGATAAATAAAGTGGTTTTTTTAGAAAAATAAACCTCCTTTTACTGTCAATTCAATTTTTAGTATTCATATAATGTTTTATACTAGTTTTTGTGATTCACATAGTCTTCTGAATCAGACTAGAAATTATTTGGGTCACTCTAAAGAAGAAGTTGTAGGACACAACCGCTAGCTACTATTCAACAGAAATCTGATACTAATTTTAAGTAGTCTGACATTGTAGAAGGACCATCTATACTATTCTTCGTGACCTGATGAACACTGATATCAACATAATCTGACGCCATTTTATGCACTAAACAATTACGGTCTTCTGAAATTCCATGTGCAAATGTAAATTAAACTAGTATCACATCTTCGCCTAGGCAATTTTAACTAGGAACTTCATCAAAATAGATATAATCACCAGGAAATTCAGCAGCCTGTCTCATTCATCGCTGGATCTCATCGATGTGTTATGGAATATTTCAGTCATCATGGATGATAATGGAAGTGTTTAAAATCCTCACAACACACATCTAACTCATGTTTGTGGGCTATCTCTCTTTCATATGCCCGATTCTCATAGAATAACCAGAATTACAACAGCCATTGCCTGTAGTCTATATACAACCTTAAGATCTGAAACAACTCGCAAAAAACAAACCTTCAACGCTCTAAAACACAAAAATAGTCTTTCTATGCAAAATTTCTTAAAAAAGATGACTTTTTATTAATAATTCGTTTGGGCTATAAATACAATTTTACGCTTTGCTACGAACAAAATACAGAGAAATACTGCCTTTTTGGCTACAGAAGTCTAAAACTAGTCAAATATAATCTATTTGCACAAAACTGAGTGATTATAACGCCTATTGGCGTGAACGCGGTAACCCATACACTGCGCGAAAACAGGTGGCCTTAGCCTATATCCTCTCGCCTGCTATTCTTAGCAGTCTAAACCGAAACTACCTAGCGTACAGACAAATGACCTTGACAAGGACAACTTCAACCAATCAAAGGCTCGAAAAACGGCTCATAATTGTAATAAGTCGTTTATATTAAGGTAATGAAATTCTTAAAAAATAGTTACAAGGACAACGTTGTCGTTTATGTCGATGAAATAAGTGTGATTTCCATCAAAAGGATTGAGGAAACCATTTGTATGGTTGACCACTTGATGAATATAGCCTAGATTCGATAACTGACTGGAGGCTGGTGTCATATATCCACAATACCTATTACTGATTCGCACTCAATCTCCCTCGATTATATTTTCTTTCTATCAAAAGTACCTAAGGAATATGCAAATTAAAAACGAATGACATAGGTTCTCGCACTGATTTTCTGGTTCGGGACTAATTTCACCAACAAACAAACCCGTCGATGCACCTGTTGTACCTTTCCATATAAACGACACCTCCATATTCACACTTTTTTGACCTTCCTATCAATGCGTTCCCAAAGCAGTAATCAAAACAAGATCTGGGACGAATTTTCAACGGAAAAGTGTACAGCACCCACAAGTACGTCTGGATAAAACAGAGTTACCTGATAGGTTGCTCAAGGTCATCTGTCCGTTCTCTAGGCAGCTTTGGTTTGGGCCGCAATTCTTTAGAGTTGCCATTATTTGAGCGCAAATTAATAATTTTCATGAAATCTATGCATTATTATCTAAATACACAAACTAAGAATATTTGTTCACTAAAAATTTAGCCTTCCAATATCCAATATCGTTTTTACGAGCTAGTATAAACCAATTTGATTTCTTTGTGCTCGCTTCTTGATTGTGAGGTATAGGTTCTTGATCTTCGGTAAACTTCTGCGTAGCTTGTCCCGCCACTCGACTGTCGTAGCTTTGGTTGACTCCAAAGGGAGTAGTGCTGGGATTAATTATATGTGGTTTGTAGTATGAGGTATGTTAAGACTGTTACTACTGTGATTGGAGTTGATCCTTTCGCCAGTTAGTCCTTCGGTATTGTCGACAAGAGAAAAGAGATAATAATAATAATAGTAATAATAATAGATATAATTAGTGAAGCTATTCAGACTAAGAGACAGAAACGAAAATAGGAAACGTAACAACAGTCAGCTCATTAAGTTTGAAGAATAATATATATATCGGTAATAGTAATAATAATAATAGTAATTATAATATTAATAAGTTGTCAGGAGAGTAAGACGGGAGAGAATGTAAAGAAGTAAAATGACGAGTTTAATTATCTACCCTGATTGGTAAATGCGATTTTAAGGAGATAGGCCATTTGGATGCAGTCCTTGTATCGCTGCATGGTTGTCCAGCCTTCGCTTAAAGGCGTCCAAAGACGGTGCCATAGCTACATCTGCCGGTAAGGAATTCCAGGGACGACAAACCCGCAGTGAAAAGAAGTGGGAGCGCACCCGGGTCCTTGCCCTCTGGTGAGCTATCCTTCTGGGATTTCCACGTGGAAGCCTATACCTACTCAATGGCAGAACACCTTTGTTTGGGTGATTCTGGTCATTTGTTATTTTGTAGGCAGTAATCAAATCCCCCCTAAGCCGACGGTAACTAAGTGTGAACAGGCCTAATTTCTTCAGCCTTTCATCATATGGTTTGTTTCGGAGACCAACCACTCCTTTTGTTGCCCGTCGTTGGACTCTTTCCAAGAGGTTGGCATCTCTTCTCAGCATTGGGGGTGCAATAATATTATGCACCTCAAGGTGTGGCCTGACGTATGTTTTGTACAACATTAGAAAGAGCTCAGGAGTGAGTGCACCTAACTGTCTATGCGTAAAGTGTATGACCGCATATGCCCTCGCTACATCCCCTGTGTAATTTACGCTTGTGTCCATTTTTTCCGTTAGAACTAGACCTAAGTCGCGTTCCGACGTTGTGCAGGACAAGCTTTCATTGCACAGGGTGTAACTTGCATTCTGCAGTCTACAGGTGCGCAACTTCACTACTTTGCACTTTTTCAAGTTGAAAGTCATGCCACTGGCCACCGCCCAGTCTTCCAGAAGGTTTAGGTCTTCCTGTAGCCTATCTGAGTCCTCCGGACACTTTATCGCCCTCCATATTTTTACGTCGTCAGCGTACAGGAGAGTCGGGCAGCTCAGACGGCGTGGTAGATCATTGATGAAAATCAAAAACATCAGTGGTCCTAGGATAGAACCCTGCGACACTCCTGATGACGATCTGTGCCAAGATGATCGGACTCGGTTAACCTTAGTGCAAAATTGCCTGTCGGCTAGGTAGTCCTTCAACCATGACAGAAGTGGCTCACCTATGCCTGCCTGGCTTATTTTATGTAGGAGAAGGTCATGGTGAACAGTGTCAAATGCCTTCTCAAAGTCTAGGAAGACCACATGGACTGGTACGTTCAAGTCCCAGCATGATGTCCAGTCGTCCCAAGCTGACAGTAGGTTAGTGACGCAGGATCTGCCTTTTCTGAAACCATGTTGGGCTTCATGTAGTATATTAGTCCTATCGAAATATTCCCTGATGTGGTCGTCAATAATACTTTCCAGTACTTTTGATACCACTGGGAGTAGAGCTACTGGTCTATAGCTAGCAGCGTTTTGCCTGTCCCCACCCTTGAAGATTGGAGAAAGGATGGCTCTTTTCCACTCCCTTGGCAGGGTCCCCGAATCCATTGAGTGTTGGAACAAGTCGCACAGGGGTCTACAGAGAGCCTCGGCGCACTGTTTCAGAACAGATGGCCTGATGTCATCACAACCTGGGGACTTCCCAGGTATGAGTCGCTGTAGCTTCCTTAGTACTATTGCGGGGTTTATTTGGGGAGTAGTCGCTAGGTCTTCCTCCTCTGAAATAGTGGTGCCACCATTTTGGTCCGTAACTGTAATATCCACATTGCTGTTTAGCTGTTTAGCGAAGGCTGAACTGAATGTTTCAGCCATCTCCAGACTAGTGAGATATTGACCGTTTGGGCCTACTAAGGCGCATGCCCCTTGGTTTGTCGGTTTTCTTTCCGACATGAATCGGTACAAGTTTTTAGGGTTTGATAGGAGTTTTTTAGCAAGGTTAGCCTGGAATGACCTTCTGTCCCTCCTGACTCTTGCATTACACCGGTTCCTGAGTTCGAGGTATGCATCATGGTCGGTCTGACTCTTAGATACACGCCACGTAAACCAAGCCTTCCGCTTTGCTTGCAGAATACGTTGCGTGCCTCTCTTCAACCATGACGTCTTTCTCTTAGGCTGTGTTGTGACTAAAGGGACGGTATCCGAGATTGCTGTATGGATAATCTTTTTTACCACTTCCCAGTGTTCATCCACAGATAGGTCGTCCCATGCTAAGGGCCAGTCTGCGTCGGACAAGAGCCTCCGCATTTCAGCATAGTCAGCCTTGCTGTAGCACAGACATGGTCGCGTAACATCCCATTGCAAACGCTCACGGAGGACAAGATCGAAACCTATGACTGCATGGTCACTGCTTCCCAGAGGAGTCATGATCTGGACCTTTTCGACGAGTAGCTGGTCACTAGTTAGAATATAATCTAGTTTTGATGACTTTCCACTAGGGCCCCACCTAGTGTCGTCTCCAACATTCTCAGTCAGTCCCGTGTTTCGAATAGTTTGCAGTAGGTTTCGGCCAAACTTTCCCTTAGCATACCCTTAGCAACTCCCCCTCCTTCCTTATTATCCCTGTCTCTTCTGGCCAGTACCATATCACCTATACTGATTTCATTGTCGGCGATAGTGGGGTTTAGCCACGTTTCAGTAAGAATGATTATTTTCAGTTGAAGGTTTGCTTGGAGATTTCGGAGTTCACCTACTTTTCCTCTCAGCCCCCTCACATTGCTATATACGCAACTGACAGTGAGTCTAACAACCTCAGAGTGTTGTGGGGTAGTTGACGTGAAACCGTCTGCTGGTGGGGGACTTGATGTTTGAACTAGTT